CGGATTTTCATAATGCATTTTTTTTTTTTTTTGGTGCATTGTGCTCTTCATTCTGATTCGCTAAAAGCTCACTCCCGCTTCCTGTATCAAAACATGCTACGAATTGTGCTATCATTTTGTCGTCTCGTGCAGTTATGTGTACGTACATAAAACAGCTTAGCAAATTTACATTAAGTTGGCCAAATTATCTTGTAATTTCGAACATCTCCTAAACCCGTAATGTCGACGAAACGGCCTGGGCCGACACTACACGTGAGTCCCTGTATTTGTATACATGTAATAGTTGCTAATTGTAAAAAAAAAAAAAAAAAAAGTTTTCTATTTCGCGGATTTCACTTATCGCGGGTCATTTTCGGAACGTAACCCCCGCGATAAACGAGGGATTACTGTATAGTGCTTCTTTATTTGGACAGGGGCATATTAACTCATTGACTGGCAGCCATTTTCAGAACAGAGAGTCGCTCACTGCCAGAGTTTTTTGAGCATTTTGACTGATTTTTCTAGAGCCACAGAATAGTTTGTGCTATGACTATGTTAACACCGAACACACCAAAAGAAAGAGTAGACTCTCTTCTATCGTCAGGAAAAAACTTTTTTGTTTCTACCTTATTCCGTTCTTCCTCGACGTGCGTCTCACTGGCGCCATTTCTCTCATAGCGAACCATTGCGTTTGTTTTTATTTGCTTACAATCTATGCTAATCTCCCATCAAAAGTGGCACTGCCCCCTAGAGGGTCAATTTGTTACTACATACTCTGTCTAGAAGCCGATATCTACGGAAAAACTTTGGATTTGAAAAGACGTCTATAGACGTCTTTGGCAGCGACTGAGTTAAAGAGAGCCGGTCTAGTTATTCAGATCCTTATGAAGGACTTTCTTTAGCTTCTGGTCCCCCGTAGAGGAACCGTGGAGTTGTCCCCAGGACGGTCATCCCCCTGAACCGACCTGAAGCCGATGATGGGGCACTCCTTGCAGATGTTGCACTTGGCCTGGTGCTTGGCGGTCTCGGCGGCGGCCACCCGATGCAGCACGGGCAGCCACACCATGGACTGAGGCTCCAGGCGCATCCAGTCCAGGAACATGGCCGCCTCCAGCTCGGGTTTGTTGTTGGCCTAGGAAAGAGGGAGCAAAAGGAGGTCGGCCCTGGACTACGCAAAACGGAACACACCCGCGCAAATAGGGTTTCAAAAAAGTCAACAAATGTTGGGCCAAAAAATCAATAAGGCTTAAATGGGTTGGTTCTGATGCCCCGTCGATCCAGCTATGGAAAAATTAGCTTTCTGAAGTTATTGTACTAGAAAGATAGAGATATTGTATGAACGGGAAATTTTCGGCTTTTAAGAAAAGATGGGAACGTATTCTTGAACACTTCAAAATGTCTAAATTTCAAAAATGAAAAACCAGTAATGTGAATCTGAATGACGTGTATGTATAAAGTGGTTATGTTTGTCATGTGACGCTATAATTCATGTACATGCCTCCAATTTTGATTTTGTCTTGTTTTCTATATCAGTGCTGTATAAGTTTTGTCCTCGTTTTGTTCTTTCCTTTCCTGTTTTTTGTATAAATATTCAAAATACTTAATAAACATAAAAAAAAAACAAAAAAAAACATCCTTTTAGAAATGTCACCTCAAGGTGCTACTTCAGGTTGATAATAAACAGCTCTTTACATTCCTAAAAATAAAAAAAAAGTCAACAAATACTAAGTGATAAGTCTACTGAGTCTACATTTGCAAATAAATCTCATAAAACTGTAGCAGAAAGACAAAAAATGACTTTATGGATTATTTGCCTTTGGATCGTCTTTTTAAAAACTACATTTAGGGACCTTTTCCCCAAGTCATTCAAGATTTTATAGCAATTGCTTTTCAAATAATTTTGAAAGCACCAGAGTAAAAATGGAAAATGATTGAAGTGTGAGGCAATTTTAACAATGAAATCGACTTGTACACCGCTTTGAGGTCACAAATGGGCAGATTTTCAGGACAAAAAAAAGCTACAGAGTGTCACAAGTGGTTCCATCTAGGCTAAACGTCTTTGGGAAAGGGACAGAGTTCCTTAAATCTACTGGTAACCTCATCTTTTTTAAATCGTAGTATCGTAAGTAGTACGTATGTAATGTACGGTAAAAACCTGCAAATGTCTGGTGGTAAACATTCCTATTAATAGAAAAATAATAATTCAAATGCTGGCAAATAAATAATAAATAAGCAAGATATTAAATGGATGTAAAGCAGGTTGGGGAGATTGTAGGGATCAACTTGAACCAGGTGCTAAATAAGTAGCTATACTTTGATTTTATTCATTATTTTCCCCCATTGTTGCTGATCGGTATGTTTGTTGCAACGACTGAATGACTGCAGACCAAATATTCAAGATTCCTTGAAAAAGTTAGCACAAAGTCAGCTAACAGTTAGCTACTAGGTAGCAGTAAACAATCAGTTCACTGACACTCTGCAAACCGCCAGATGACAGTTAGCAATCAGTTCACTAACAGAATCAGAATTACTTTAATAATCCCAGAGGGAAATTATTAACACTCTGCAAACCAGAATTGATAAAAGTTAGCTATCAGTTTGCTAACAATCTGTAACCCTAAATTGATAACAGTTAGCTATCAGTTTGCTAACAATCTGTAACCCAGAATTGATAACAGTTAGCTATCAGTTTGCTAACAATCTGTAACCCAGAATTGATAACAGTTTGCTATCAGTTCGCTAACACTCTGCAAACCAGATTTGATGACAGTTAGCAATCAGTTCGCTAACACACTGCAAACCAGAATTGATAACAGTTAGCTATCAGTTCACAAACAATCTGTAACCCAGTTAGCTATCAGTTTGCTAACAATCTGTAAACCAGAATTGATAACAGTTAGCTATCAGTTCGCTAACATTCTGCAAACCACCATATAACATTTAGCTTTCAGTTAGCTAACACTCTGCAAACCAGAATTGATAACAGTTAGCTATCAGTTCGCTAACACTCTGCAAACCGCCAGATAACAGTTAGCAATCAGCTTGTTAACAATCTGGAAACCAGAATTGATAACAGTTAGCTATCAGTTCGCTAACACTTTGCAAACCGCCAGATAACAGTTAGCAATCAGCTTGCTAACAATCTGGAAACCAGAATTGATGACAGTTAGCAATCAGTTCGCTAACACTTTGCAAACCGCCAGATAACAGTTAGCTATCAATTCGCTAATATTTTGCAGTTAGCAATCAGTTCTCTAACAAATAGCATTTAGCCAGCTAGCAGTCAACCAACATATAACAATTATTCTTTTCAGAACCGTTTCTAGCCACACAGACAGCGGATACAACAAAAAAAAAAATCACGTCACGTTTGAACTAACCTAACCCTAACCCCGGTGGTACGGTATCATGGCATCCCTCCACTGTTTGAGAACCAGCTCCTTACAATCAGAGTCTACACTCTTAACCCAACTGGATATGACCCAGCGTGCACATGTAGTCACAAATTTGAGAAGAACACGTACAAACTGGAAGCAGCTGCGAACGGAGGGTTCGATGTTGGAGCCGCCAAAGGACGCCACCTCGCCGAGCTGCCGAGGGATCTGGATGGAGTCGTAGAGGAGGAGGCCTAATCGACGCTGGTCGCAGAAACCGGTGGCGCTAGCAACCTGCCGGAACAAAACTGGAGACAGAGAGGGAAAGGC